AAGCTAGCTATCAAAATACAGGCAAACCCAAAGCATCCGTTTATGTACCTGACAAGAAGAAAACCGACGAATCAGGGTTTGTGCTCCCTCAAATATCCGAATGGGGGAGATCTCATCAACCTATAAAAGGCTGAGACTTCGACAAACTTCATTGAACAGTTAAACCAGGCATCCACATGTTGAGAGTGCTGCGTAAACCCAGTGCTAGCTGACGGCTTAGAGAATATCCGTATTACTCTTGACTTATTACTAAGGAGACAGAAATAATCATGCCCAGGAAAGTCACCAGGTCTTGATAATATTCGCCACATTGTTTCAAAGCCATGTGCAGAAGAGAGTCGTTGCAAATCGGGGTCCGCTCCTAGCCGAGGTGACCACAGCCCCCTCAGTGTAGAGCTTTAAGAAGAGACTTGATGAACACGTACTCACATACGGACTATCATCTCCCTCGTGGACAAGCTGTGCCTGATGCATGTCTTGAGGCCTGCTAGTCGTCATCATTGCCATCTTCTCAGACTACCAACTTAATCTATCTCGCCTGTTATCTCTGTTTCCTCTCCCTTGATTACACTTCCGTTCTCTCTCACAATCTTCACCACCAATTGGTAAACGAAATTATCTATATATTACTTAGTTCTGAAATCCTCTTAGAATTTTCTCCTTATTATTCTCCATATTGCAACTAAATGACCTCCGGTCTGGTAGTGTGACAGCTTCTGGTATCCAGAAACCCTACTGGCCTGTAACAAACGTTTTCATTCAAATCACGGGACATACAGACTCACAACAACTAGAATTCGACAGTCCGGTGGCAAGAAACTCATTCATTGGACATTACCAAACTCCTGGAGCTGTACCGAAAGAACAAGAATCGGAGCGAAGAAATCAATTGGTTTACACTTGCTCGTGAAAAAATATTGGATATTGGATAGGAATGCAAATACAAATCTAGCGCGATCTTGAACTAGTTACTATTTACCACCGATTGCTTGCTCTCGGTTTTGTTATCTAGCAGAAAGTTAATACTTTGCGATGCCTGGTAGGTTTGGCTTGAAAATTTCGTTTTATCATAAAAATAGATGTCTATAACCATAGTGCGTAGTTTCCTTCAGTGTAATTTTTTTATAAATTAACTAAGTTTTATGACGTTCTACTTTTCATGCCATAATATAGTACTAAGCTAATAACTCTGGTTTCTGAGGCGAATCTCCTGGAATTCGTTGGAAGATACAAAGTTAAAACCTAAAGTCGATGGAAATCCGAAGAAACTTGTTTCCGGTTTACTAAAATTTTCAAAGAGACTCCCAAAATTTATTGATTTTGTTTGAAAGCGAATAGCTTGAGATATGAAAATATTTTCGCTTTGCCTGTTTCTCTTTTTGATCCGGAAATTTGTCTCACGTGTAGTTCTCATATCTCACAACGAAATACAGTTGAATAAGAGGAAAATACATAGTGACAACCTAGACTGAAAATTAGGTTACTATATAAATCTTACGATAAATGCTTACCGTTTTATGCCGAGTTCCATTGATGAAAAAATACGTTGACACACAGTCACATTAGGTAGTGTGTTTATTCGACAAGTCATTTACAAATTGTAGATGCGTTTAGTCGTCTTGTAATCTAATTGTTTTTACTTTTAAAGATAACCGATCAACTTATCCGAATTTCTATGAGGAACTTTATCCATTGGATCGTTCGATATCGTTTATTAGTCCTCATATAAATCATCAGTCAGTAATATACGATCCTGAAGTAAGTTATTCGTCGCTCAAATAACCGTTTTATTCATTGTCTAAAAGCGCAGTGCCTAATAAAAGTAAATTTCCCGTGCTAAACGACATAATACAGGGCCGGACAAATGTATCAGTTCGACTTGCCACACCTCGTATTTGCACGGTAAGAAGGGTTTAACAGTTAGGAAAGCGACGAAGTGAAGATTTCAACAATCAACTGTTGCAGAAAACTAATAATCAGAAGTATTGATAGAAGTAAATGTGGTTGGTGAGTGAGGTATACAACATAGCATTGCGCTTAAGGTTCGGAAAGAAGGTCATTACATAAAGCAAACGACTGAGTAAGCGCGAATCGGTGGCTAGTAAGAGCAAATGTGAGATATAGCCATGAACGGTCGATATCTTCGCACCAAACGATCTCATAGCAATTATTCTTCAAGATCATAATGTGGTTAGTGATTCTAGCTATTATTTACTCTAAGTAAAAGTTTATAATGAAGTTAGCGTTTTAGATCAGGAAAGTTTATTTTGGTAGGCAAAAATGGAATTTCGCATAAAATAATAACTAAACGAATTATTTTTAAATAGAATGTTTTAGTATTCTCCGGATTACACATTAGCGCATGTCCAATAATTTATAAATTGGTCTTTTTGTTAGTATAGTCGTGACAGTTGTGATACCATATTAACTTTTCCTATGATTCAGTGTTATTTCTTAATGTTACGTTCACATAGTCCTTTAGGATTTCTTGACATTGTTTAGCACAATTCCTTTGTTTTGTGATGAGTTTCCCCTTGTGATGTTCTGATAGTTCCCAGGAGATATCGTTCTGTCGATTCAATATTCGAGCCTAGAAGTTTTGTTTTTGATACAATTACTTGACTCTAAGAAGTATTTCTGCTGCTAGGACTTGCAAGGTCAGATAAGGATAAAGCATCTGCATAACCTGCAAGTAATATCTGCCTGAGGAGCGAGTATACTGTTTAGAGGTCGCAATTTTATAATTTTGAAGATGTAAAATTTTTCTTATAATAGTTGTGTCAGTCATAATCAATATAAGGTCGGTCAGTGATGTCCGTTGACCCAAGTTTTCATGCTACATTCGCACGACCAGAAGTTGAACGTAAGAATGAATCGAAATAATGCGATAAAGTTGATAACAAGAACGACTAAATGTTGGGAATATAGGACGAAAATGCGGGATAAGCAGATCCTTGTCATTGTGAACGATTCTATCCCATGTTATTCAAATCCGCTGGTCGGAGTCATCATGTGAACTCCAACCAGGCAGTTTGAATCTACCAACGTGGCTCAGACTAACAATCAGTGACTTCCTGGACTGGTTTCTTGTCATAGTTTGGCCATTCCTAGATTTTCCCAATTCACTACACTGGCGAACATCTGTTAAGTTAGAAAGTGATTAGGAATACGCGACCCATATCCTAACAATCTCAGTCGGTGGAGATAACCTGATCAATAGGTTCGGTAGATTTACATAATGCCCTGTATCTAAAACCAACACTGCTTCTTTGGTTGCTTCACGAAAATCAAGGATTGTTTCAAAGAAACCTATGACCAGAAACGTGTAACGTACTCATGTCTATACATTAACGTTCAGGTCTAAAGCACCATGGTTTTCTCGAGTCCGCTCTTCACGAGCTCTAGTTAGGCGTCGAAGTATTGTTGAACCTGATATTTTGAACACTATATCAGTTAAACTGATTTCTCAAGAGGACTTTTGTCCCTTTTTATGAACTGAGACAATCATGGATTGAAACTAGTCATTTGGGATTACGTCCAGTTCCCATACTCTAGCTAAGATCCCAGTCAATCCGACTACTAAAACTGGACCACCATCTGCAAAATCCTGGGAATCAATCTATTAAGACCTGTTTCTGTCCCTTGCCTTAGATTTCCTATAGCCTTTATCCTGGCTTGAAACCAGCAGTAGCTCCAGTGGGGCTTCAGGCATAGTTCTAAATTTCTTCAAAGCTTATAAAAGTGTGTTTGACGCATAATAAGTTGTGATCGAAAATTTCCCTTATTATTGATAATTCTGTCAATTGATTTCAAGCGTTATTTCTACATTTATTTACCGATTTACTCGATACATTTAGACTGGTGCACGAAAATGCCCAATTGTTCCTAAGTTCACTGACAAAGATCGGGTAAAAACAGTCAAAGACATTTTTGAATATGGCTTAAAGGCTTCGGGTAAGTTCGACCATCCACGCTATTTGTTGATTGTTGTTTGTTCATGGTAAACCTTAATTCGCGAAACAGACCTAGTTTTATTATCACTTGCTAAGTAAAACTTATTTGTATTTTGTGGTGTTTTTTGTTGCTTATTTTACCCAGATGGTTTACTTGCAAATTGTCCATTGTCTTTCTAGACAATATCACCAACACTTAATCCTGAAAGAGGTGACCTACTAAAAGCAGTTCAAAAACAGCTAACAGTTTATCTTAACCACTTTCTATACGGTAATCGTGTTTCGTATTAGTTGACAAATCAAGCTTTGGTTTCATCATACCAAATAATTTTTCTATACTTCGTGTTGCTGCTCACTTACTTACTTACCAGCATTTTCCAACCTACTCTGTTCTGGTCCTTTCTTATATCTGTACACTTGTTCTTCATTCTACTCATGTCTGTCTCCATTTCTCAGCGTAATGTCTTTTTTCGTCTCTCTCTTTCCTTTTGGCTTTAGGGATTCCAAGTGAAAGCTTGCCTTGCGACGCACTTCGGTGCGTTTCGCAATGTTTGTCCTATCTACTGACAGCACTTCTTTCCGATTTATTCCTCCACCAGGAATCTGGTTTGTATAAAAACGCTAACTAGATAAACATGCCGCTGCTAGTTGGAACTGAATGAATTGTTATGACCAAATACGTTTTGAAAAATTGATGTTTAAACATACTAAGATGAAAATGACTACCGTACTTCCCACTATCATTTTGTGAAGCTTTTATACATACTATCAAATAATATCTTAACTCAAAGTAGTGTATTTGTTGCAGAAGTTTTAAATTTTATTTGTCTGGTTTGATATATCTAGAAGTTGGAAACTAAAACATTTTTAGTGAATCTATGCTGACTTTTATCCTTTTTCATTAAATAAAGAAGGTAAAGCAAAAGGAATGCTCTAAACGTTTCCCGTTTTACTAATTGGTGAAAATACATTACCATACATAGAAAGGGTCAAATAAATTGTAAAGCTAAACCACAGCTTGTTTTAGAGTTTATTTAGATTTTTTGCTGTGTACGATGAGATATTAAGAACGTTGTATCTTCTATTCAAAAAAATAGTTGAATGTGACTGAATGGCGTGAAATGAAAATGTGATACATGCTCAAAAAGTATGACTAATATATTCCTCTTTGTAAATGAATCAAGGCAGTAAAAATGTTCATCGGCGAAAACCTTATGTTGTATGCATAAATAATACTGTTTTGTTCGAATCTAGCGTTTGTATACGCTTCTTAAAAGTATATTTACAAAACAAAATCGATTATGTTAATACGTTTACAACTTCAAAAAGTTTGACTTACTTAAGATTTTAGTCTTAACATAGATAAATAAAATTGTGGTTTTTAATATTAAAATTTCTAACTCTTACTTATGTTATTCACCAAGTATGCAGTGAGATGTATACTTTTTTGTGCTACTGAACTATAAAATCATGAATATTATTTTATGAAGATGAAATATTACTGTAGTACATGAAATATTTTATGCTCAAAACCTTAATCTACTAGTTTACTGGGTCACAGCGGTTAATTTGTGACTTGTGGACTCTTTGTTTCATGACGTCGTCCACCACGTTTACTGCATTTTTTTGTGGTCACAATAAAAATTTCGTAAATTTCAATTTTCAGTCTATTAGTTTTCTAATTCTGTTTATTCAAAAATGCTTTAGATACAGGGACTAATGTGTGTTTTGGAAAACGGCCTTCTTTCAGCTCTCCAGTCTCGTGGTTAACTTATGCGGAAGTAAGTAGTTCCAACTGAAATGTACATTTTCTAGGTGGATAAGAGAGTTAAAGCTATCGGGTCATCGCTGTCAAGACTTCGGACACTTGAAAATGATCGTGAAAAGTTTGTCGGGATTTATGGACCAAACTCACCAGAGGTAGTTCTAAAAGTTATTTAGTTTCAAAATACATATTACTTTGTTCACTAATTAATCAATCATTGAAATATTCTCGATGTCTATATCAAAAGTGACTTTATCAATTAGACCTGGTATGTAGATTGCGTGACATTCAAATGATGAGATCTGACTGCCGAATTACAAGTCGTGGGTTATGTTCTTTCAGGTTACCTAAAGAATAAATGTATCTGGTATACTTATCTTACACATACGTTTCTTTATCGTTTTTCACTTATTATCCTTTAACTTTGATTGTCGTGACAGTTACTGCTTACCAACAGCTAAATAGTAGATCAAATGTAAATCAAAATACAGTAACGTGTCTCTTTCTACACAGATTTTTAACCGATGAGTGTGGTATAATGGTAATCTGTTTCGGTTAGTTGTTTAACGTACAAGGACTTCTGAGATAATATGTGGTTTCCGTTGAGTTCTTTATTCTTTACTCCCAGTTAATAAGGAAAGTCTCGTTACTTTATCCAATCATATAATTCACTGGTAATTACCAAAGCTGCTGCCTTGACGTGGTGGTCGGACTTGTCAATCGTGATGACCTAACCGAGCTATATTGGCTGGAACATATGTTCCTGAAGGTCGATTGGAGAACGATGAGACTAAAAGCAGCTACCCAAGGTCTGAGGGCGAAGTCATACTGCTGACTGTAAATGGGTGTGACATCAGTAAGATGTTTCCCTCGGACAACCAGCATCTGCAGTGATGCTGCCTTCTCACAAGGAAGGAAGAGGTTAGAAAAGGTCGACCCTAAAAATATCACACCTCAACCTACATCACGGCTTTCTATCTCCGTCGGTAAGGGTGCCCACTAAGGGATTTTAAGAGCGGAGCTAATACTCAAAAAACCTTTCATAAAAAGGCCGTGCGTGACCGGCCTCAAGCAGTTGTCCCTTGGACTCTGCGGTCACGCACCCAGGTCTCCAAGACCAACACTAATCTATCTTCCTTTTCAGGTCCATCAAGAAACAACCTTCCACGGTGTTGGCAGCCGGGAAGTGACAACCGCCCTCATACCCGTAACAGCACGGGAGACCGAATTGGTCAAAATCAAATCCTTCATACGTACGAAGTTCTACGTTGTGTCTGACTGACTGACGACTAACACTAGTCGCATTCCTTCAGCTCACTGTACCGCTAATGCAAACGTTGCGAGTTCACGAAACGTCATTGCTGGTTTCCTTAAACCCCGTTCTAAACTACATGTTGGAGCATTTAATGTCCGGACATTGTGTCAAATAGGGCAACAGGGATCATTAGCTAGGACTTTAGAATCTCACTCAATCGATGTGTGCTGCGTCTCAAAAACGCGCATACAGAATCCTAGTAAAATCATTAATCTGATTTCACCTTATCAAAATAAAGAAGCATCCCGATTTACTCTTCGTGCATCCGGTAGCCCTGATGCTGCTTCCCGGGGTCTCGCTGGTGTAGGTATAGTATTGAGTCGTAAGGCAGAACTATCTCTCCTAGACTGGATCCCTGTAGATAGTCGATTGTGCGCTGTCCGACTAAACGGGACAGTAAAGCCTCGTAAAGATACGGACATCCGTCGTTGCCTCTTCATCGTATCTGCCTATGCTCCCACTGACTGAAGTTCAGACGAGGTGAAAGATGAGTTTTACAGAAAGCTTTCGGACCTCCTCCAAAAAGTTAGGCGCTCTGATATAGTAATAATGACTGGCGACTTCAATGCTCATGTAGGTAGACAGTGAAAAGTATAGACACCTTGGTGGATGTTATGGTGACGCGACTCAGAGAACAGATAATGGCGACCGTCTGTTGCAACTATGCTCAGATAACCGCCTATTTCTAGCAAACACTAAATTTAAGCATAAGGAAAAACATCTCTTGACATGGAGACCCCCAAAGTCGTCTTAACGCTGGACCCAACTAGATCACATTGCCATCAGCCACCGATGGATGGGTTAGATAGAAGACTGTCGCTCGTTCTGGAGCACATGTTTAGATTCTGATCATACCCTAGTGCGAGCTCGAGCTCGTTTGAGGCTTACTGGACGTAGGAAAGACACCGTAAGGAAGCCTCTTAGGGTTTTACTTAATGATAATGAGGCTAAGAGTATATTTCAGGAACAACTAGAAAGACAGTTAGGTGACCATTTAAGCGATTGCCATCCGGAGGCAGGTTGGAATGATATCAAGAAGGCTGTGGAAACAGCAATGATATCTGCTGGTAAGGTAAACCATAAGACTAGGATGAAGCCGTGTATCTCAATATCATCTACCAAACTGATGGATGCTCGAAAACTCATTCCGCGTGGTTGTGAGGGCAATGAGGAGCAGAGTCAGCTTAGACGTAGGCTGACAAAAAGCCTACGCAGTGGTGGGTGGCGAAAGCAAGAGAGATAGAAAAGGCAGCTGCGATAGGCAACAGTAGGCAACTATTGAGACTCATCAAGGAAACTAGTATTAGGAAGCCAAATATCTTATCCTCGTCTGAATTTTCAGAAGTAGACCTTCTACCAGGTGGCTCGCTTATTGACTTAGAATATGCCGATGACATAGTTCTATTCGGTGAAGACGCTGACAAAATGCAGTCTTCTGACTATCCTAAGCAACAATGCAAGCATGTTCGAGATGCGCTTTTCCCCCTCGAAATGCAAAATGTTGCTTCAAGACTGGGTTGCATCGGCACCTGAACTAGTGATAGGGAGTGAAGTAGTCGAGCGTGTAGACCGCTTCACATATCTGGGGAGTCTCATCAGTGCCGATGGCATGGTGACTGACGAAATCTCAGCTCAGATACAGAAAGCTCGATTGGCTTTTGCCAACTTGCGTCACTTAAGGCGTAGGCGTGATATTCGTTTGCTGACTAAAGGACGAGTGTACTGCGCAGCAGTTAGCTCCGTCTTACTTTATGGCTGTGAAACATGGCAAGTTAGAGTAGAAGATATTCGTAGGTTACTGGCTTTTGATCATAGGTGTCTTAGAAGCATTGCTAGTATATCCTGGGACACCTGAGTGAGCAACGCTGTTATTAGGAAACGGGTGCTAGGTAAGGATGGCAAATCAATAGATGAAGTAATGAAACTTCATCAGTTGAGGTGGTTGGGACATGTGTTGCGTATGCCCAACCACCGACTGCCTCGACGAGCTTTGTTTTGTAGTGTAGGAATAGGTTGGAAGAAAGCTAGGGGCGGCCAAACCAAAACATGGCAGAAATCCATGAAGTCATTGACGAATGGACTTAGCCATGCCAACTACCTGGTTGGGTTTAGCGAGATGACAATAATCGATGGTTAGATACCCTGAATGACATGGCTGAGAACCGTTTGCAATGGCGCCGGTGCATTTATTCTTTGTGTTCTCTCAAATTCTAATCTTCTAGATTCTTCAACCCCTCTGGTTTTGACTTTCTAAACTTTTCTCACTGAATCATAGTTCTTGAATAATATCTTCTAATCCTAACCTCTCGGATTACTTCTAATACCTTTACTACCTCTACTACTATTGTATTTGAATTGACAATTATATCTCTGTGCTGATTTGGTATGCCAACATGAACTGATGTACTTACGTACGAAGTTCTACGTCGCATCTGACTGACTAATTATAAGCACTATTCTGCTCAAATACATTCAGATATAACTCGTGTTACTTCATAGCTATTTCCCCATGTTGCATTGATTTGCCAGGTTTCAGGTCCTATGTTTGCCGTTGCATTAATCTTTTCTTCAAGTTTCGTTAAAGTATTCTCAACAGCATTGCTTAAACTGAAAATTAGCGATCCATATTTTATTTGCTATTAGGATTACGAACACTATTATCTGATGGTTAGAAACCTTGAATGATATGTCTGAAGATCGTTTGCAATTGCTCAGGTGCATCAATTCTTTGTTCTCCCTCAAATTTTAATCTGAATTCCTCATGACATTATTTTCTTTTTAAATTTACTCCACTGGATTTTACTTCTGGAATCCTAATCTTTTCCACTACTATTAATACTGCTAAAACTCTGCTACTATGGGATTTGAATTGACAATTTCATCTCTGTGCTTATTATAGTATGGCAACTTGAACTGATGTCCGTGCGTGTGAAGTTTTACATTGCAGCTAACTAACTAGCTGATACTAACTGTAGAAACTGTATAGCTAATACTCGTCACTCTTCATCAACAATCCTTTACACGATAAGAACAGAACCAAATGTCTTCAGAAAGATATATTGGTGAAGATCCCAAACTACATATTGATTACCAATTTCGGAATTTCATTAACTGTACTCAGAATTGCAGTTCATGAAACAATGTGTAGAAATACGTTGAAAATTAACTAAACAAGAATCCTGTTAAATTAATATGCAATTTTTATTTATATTTTTCGTCGTACATAACTCATTAAACGCCACTATTGCTTCTATTATACAGTGGGTTATTACGCAATATGCTTGTGCTTCATATTCTTTTGTCATCGTACCATTGTATCCGACGCTCGGTGATGAAGCTGTACAACATATCCTAACTCAAAGTGAGTTTTTTCTCATTCCCTTAATTTTCACCCTTTTTAGTAAAGTATATTCCACTTACTGAATGATATATCTTTATGAGACTATGGTTCACTCTAAGAATATCACAGAACCGGTACAAGACTTAATAAAATTTAAGTAAAATTCAGTTGGTAAGGAAACTCGACATATATTCATCGTGTATATGAAGGTATTTGTTTTAAATGCTTTACACACTATTTCTGTGTTTCTTGATACTGTTACTAGTAACATCTAGAAGGGCAAAATATAATATATAGTCTAAAAGAGTTATTTCGAATAAATATATTAGTTTTAGAAGGATGTACTACACTGTTTTCGACAAAATAATGCTTTCTCAAATCACTGATATTTTCAGTTAAAAATGTTATCGAGTCATAATCCCAATCTAAGAAAGATGTAAATAATCGCACCTTTTTTAAACTAATCCTTATTCTATTTAAATTTCAGCAAACATGAAATGTATACTGTGTGCTTCAGGGAATGAAGCTATTTATTTAATGGACAAGTTTAAATCTTCTCTTGAAACTTTTATCATTATTTCAAATGATTCTAAATTTGAAGAATTTAAATCTAAATATGGTTCAAAAGTTTCAGTTTACTTGTTTGAAGAATTCATGGTAATTAGTAAATACAAACCATTATATTTTTTACCTGTATCAGAGAAAAGAATTTTCCAGTACAGTTAGTTGCAAGAGGGTTATACATATCTTGTCATTTAATTGACTTTTTATACTCCGTCTGTTATGTATTTAGCACACTAATGATTCACTTTTCGTCCCATGTAAAGGGTACTAGGATTCTTTGTCATAAATTTGTAGTTTTCAGAAGTATACATGTAATTATAACCCTTACCATTCTCATGACACTTATCATGGTACAGTGAAGTTCTATATTAGTCTTTACTGTGATCCTTGATATAATATGTCATATCCATTACTCATTGGTCTAACAGTAAACCTCTTTCTGCGAAGCCGGAAAGTCCTGTACTTGCTTCATAGTGGTGATTGAAATTTGAGATTGTTAAGTTCTTAGGGCTCATGTACTAAAAAGATATAGCTTTCCATTACTCCCAAACTTTCAGCCGTCGTCACCCTTAAATCAATTTGTAATCTAAACTATTTTAGAACTGAGCAAACTCAATAGATCTCTCTTAAGATATTTGTTGTCGTGGCTGTTATCATTAACATAAGAAAAGACACAAATGTGTTTCACTCTCAATAACCACACTCTGTGTCAATACAGTGAGAAGAGGTGAACAGTAAAAAAAATCAACAGAGTGAAAGTACTAACTTTCAACGATAGTAATAAACTGATATTCAAGAAAAAACCTCTCAACATAGTTATGAAATAATAATATATTCCATTGGGTTATACAATTCTCACTTTTTTGACATTCTGAACTCCATACTAATATTAACCAGTTTGTAGTGTATTTTTTATGGTTTAATTATCAGTCTTTAATAATTCTATTACTTGTGCAAATTACTCAAATCAAGAAGAATAAATATCAATCCAGGGAACTTATGATGTTAATTAGGATGTTAATTATTTATTAGAACAACAAATACATATAAGTGAACAAGAATCTCATCAGATTTTACTCCAAGATGCAGTAATATGTATATGTATTAAATTAGTATCCAGATTTTTAATAATTATTTCATATTAAGTCTTTTTGTTCCTTGTAACATGTATTTAACAAGTTCGTATGTTTCAACTGTTAAAATTGATTGTGATCGTAATCATAAACATACTATTAATGAATGAACTCTCATTTATTAACTTTTTTAGAAAAAGGGGATGAATGAACCTTTACCGAAAAAAGTAAGTCTTTATGACCTATCAACTGACTCTTTTTTCAGTGTCATTTATGAATTTGATTTTCACTAAATTCATTAACATAAATGAAGTTTTGATTCAATTACTGCGTTTTTATAGCTCATATGGAATTCTAGTGTTGTAATGGTTGATACATATAGTGAATTCCTTCGTTAAAATCGTATTTAAAGATTATTATACAGTTCTCCGTTTTCATGTTTATTTTTTATGCTTTTTCTAATACGAATTCCTGAAGTCTGACCCCTAAATAATTGAATGAGAACAAGTCTTCTGTGTAGCATTTAAAATAATTTGCTAAAATATGTATTAATAATGTTAATCTGAGATCAACCTTGAATTTCCACAGTCAGTCGTCGATGCACAACGTAAAACGTATCGCTAGTGTGCCAATAGGTGAACAAGAACTCCAGAAAAGTGTTATTGAACCAGTCGATTTCTCAAAATGGGTTGTATCAATAATCATGGTTAAAAAAAGCCAACTACAACATCCTCTTGAGAACCGATTCGTCAACTAAATTCAGTGAAACTCTAGAAAACTATCAACATCCTTTTATCTTAACTGAATGTTCTTTTCACCAAGTTTTATAGAGGTAGATTTTCGAAAACTTAGGTGTATCGAAAATTTACACACCAATCAAAGTAGCTATAGAATGTAGAGAATTTCTCACTAATAATACGCACAAAAGTTTATTTCAATATCACCGGTCCCCTTTCAGAGTGAAGAACGCGCCCTCTATATCTCATCAACATATGTACACTACGTTACAAAGTATCCCAGGTGCTGGGCGTACGGGTGTGCTGTTATGGGTATGAGTGCGGATGTCACTTTCCCGCTGCCCACACCATGGGAGAGTGTTTCTTGAAGAACCTAAAAAGGAAATTAGCTTAGCGTTGGTCTTAGAGACCTAGGAGTGTGACCGCAGAGACCAAAGGAAAATCGCTTCAGGCCGGTCGCACTGGCTTTTTTATGCGAAGGTTGTATAGTGTTACCTCGACTCTTCGAATGGCCTTACAACCGGAGACGGAAATCCGTGAGGTGTGGCATTTTTAGGGTCGACCTTTTCTAACCCCTTCATTCCTTGTGAGAAGGTAGCATCTCTGCGGGTGCTGGTTGTCTGATGGAAACACCCTACTGCCGTCACACCCCTCTACAATCAGCTGTACGACTTTGCCCTCAGATATTGAGTAGCTGCTTTTAGTCTCATCGTTCTCCAGTCGACCTGCCTGGCATGGTAGAACCTTCAGAAACATATGTTCCAGCCAATATAGCTCAGATCGGTCGTCACGATAGTCATGTCTGACCACCACGTCTAGCTAGCAGCTACGGTCGAGTGCTGCAACTTATTTGGATGGTATCATAATTATGAAAACATATTCAGAAAAAAATTGGCCTGATGATTTCATCTGTAGCTAAATATGGTTTCTGACCTCATATAGAAAAATGTGATTTTTGCATGTAACAGTACGGTACGTAGGTTTCATAATAGATAAACACATACTAGCAGACCTGGTGAATGTTGAAGCAATCAAAAGCATGTTTAAACGAACGAACTTTCTCACTCAACGATATTACTCAAGATTGGTTAGTCGTTGTGGAATCATCATCTCCTACGTACTCAGTTAAATCCTCTACTAACGAAGACTGCAAGATGGATCTTGTCTGCAAGCTGTCATATCAGTAAATCGAACAATACTTATCTTCTGTCATTTTATTTATTCACTATGAATCTTCTTATTCATTGTTAGTTGCTTTAGGCTCTTCAAATTATGGTTTAAGAATGGTTTTCTCATGCATCTATCCCGACAGATTTGGAAAAGCCATCTCATATTGGCCCAGGTGTATACGTATGTTTGTATAGTACTAAGTGATGGCACACTGGATACAACAGTTCATCTTATCCTGTAGTAATTAAATGTTAGTAATTTAAATGTCTCTTTTGTGGATTGTTATGTTTAGCAACAATCAAAAATGAAAATATTTACTTAGTCTAATTTTACATTTGTTAAAGCATCTTTCATATTGTTCCTTTTTCTTTTAAAAGACTCCATTACCAACAGACCTTTATATGATCGCCTACACTAGTGGAAGTACTGGTAGGTATATTTGGGATTGTATTTCAACTAACTGAAATATATATTTGTATTTTTAATCGTACTAATAAAGCGAGTATTTCTTAATTCAATGAGGAAATTATTTTTCCTTGATTCGTAACAAGCTAAGTAACTCAGTCAGTCAGTCAGTCAAATGCAACGTAGAACTTTGTACATAAGTACATCAGTTCATGTTGCCATACCACATCAGCACAGAGCAGTAATCGTCAATTCAAATCCAATTGTAGAAGAGGTAGTAAGGGAATTAGAAATAATCGGAGAGGTTAGGATTAGAAGATACTATTCAAGAAGTATGATTCAGTGAGAAAAGTATAGAGAGTCGAAACTAGAGGTGTTGAAGAATCCAGAAGATTAGGATTTGAGAGAACACAAAGAATAAATGCACCTGCGCCATTGCGAACGATTTTGAGCCATGTCATTCAAGGTCTCTAACCATCGATTATTATCATCTCGCGGACCCCAACCAGGTAGTCTACAATTACCGACATGGCTCAGTCCACTAGTCAATGACTTCATGGATTTCTGCCATGTTTTGGTTTGGCCGCCCCTAACTTTCTTCCAACCTATTCCTACACTACAAAACAAGGCTCGACGAGGCAGCCGGTGGTTGGGCATACGCAACACATGTCCCAACCACCTCAACTGGTGAAGTTTCAATACTTCATCGATTGATCTGCCATTCTTACCTAGCACCCGATTCCTAATAACAGCGTTGCTCATTCGGGTGTCCCACGATATACGAGCAATGCTTCGAAGACACCTATGATCGAAAACCAATAACCTACGAATATCTTCTACTCTCACTGGCCATGTTTCACAGCCATAAAGTAAGACGGAGCGAACCACTGCGCAGTACACGCGTCCTTTAGTCAGCAAACGGATATCTCGCCTACGCCATAAGTGACGCAGGTTGGCAAAAGCCAATCGAGCCTTCTAAGCTAAGTAACTTGTTTCAAGTATATTGCCTTCCTAACAATATTCCTATCGCCAGATAAAATGATAAATCATGGATACGTTCTTTTCTGTCTATGACTGTCCAACTATTCGAATTCCATCGCTTACTTATTTTGGGACTACTGAGTGAGCACTGTTGAAATTAAACACAAGGAATTAAGTGAAGCTTTTAAATAGGTTGATAAGGCCATGAACCTTTATCAACTGAGATGGTTAAGGTCTGTATTACGTAGAGCCTAGCGACATTACCTTGAAGGGGGATGGTGTCTAGCATAGGAGCAGATAGGAGCGACCAAAATATGGTTTCAATTAATAAAATCATTCACAGTCAGACAGTGTTTTTGGAAGGTAGATTTATTTATTCTTTATGATTTTTTATATTTTGTGTTTCAAAATAATTTTATATCTTTCATTCAGTAAATTCGTTATTTTCGAATATATTTCCTCTACTAAGTGTTTCTCATTGTCGCTGATACTCCTCTTGTGTGATATTTACTTTAATAATTTCATCTTGAACGAAGACACATATGTGGCAGGTTCTACACTTTACATATCCAACAGAATCCGTAGTATATGTCCACTTGATGAGCTCTATAAAATATTCTCTATTTCTTAATTAGCCTGTAGACACAATCAGGATAAAATCTTTCATTCTGTCAGTTATTCTTGTTGTATACAGAAATAAAACATTTAAAAATCTTATCTATTGTTCATATAGGCTTACCCAAAGGAGTTCTAGTTAGTCATGGAGAGGTTGCATATTGCACGATTTCGCTTCTTGAAACTTCCGAATTCAAGGTAAAATTGAGTTATTTCAGTTTATTATCTGTTTAATTATTAGTGAAGTTTCTTAATTAATTTGTAATCCATGTGTTGAATTCTTGTCTATTTTGATAACAATCATAATATATTCTAATGACAGAATAACATATTTTAGCTGTTTCAGTCCTATTCCTTATGGGCAAAATCAAAGTAATAATTTGAACAATTCAACTTATACGTAAGGTCCTACTTTGGTAGCCTACGAAGTCTTCTACGATTCAAATAGATGTCAAGTTTTGTGCTTTTGTTATCAGTATTCATTGGTAAGACTAAAAACCCAACCTAATTTATGTCAGGTAGATGCTGACTACAAATATCAGCTCGAGTTGACGTAATAAGTATAAAGCTCCCATTGACTCTTCGTTCAGCCTTAACCACTTAGAAGACCTGAAAAAGCAATAGATTTATCCCCCCACTTCAACCGGACTGTAATATGAAATACGTGAATACTGATGGAACTTCCGAATATATCTTTATAAATTAGTCATTCACGATGTAAGTTTTGTAGCGTCTTGTTAAACGGTATCTCCACGGTGATTGCTAAAAATCAATTTTAGGAGCTGGATTAGATCTTTAGAAAAAATGCATTTCTCAATAGATTAGATGTGTGTGAACAGACGAAGTATAACGCTCATTTATTGGATAATATACTGAGAAGACGAGGATCATCAGAAGTATGTGATATATATACGCTCATTGCAATGCGAATAAACTGATCACACATACACTTTATATATGGGAAGTAAAAGGTCAACTAGACAGATAGAACGTAAGGTTGAGTAAGAAAATTACCTTGAAAAACAATGTGAAACAAACCACTTTGGATAATAACACAATAAGCCACCAAGGACGTCTTTAGGTTACATACTATTTTTAAATACAGGAAAGGGGGGGGGTTAAGATTTCGTATGACTAAGGTTTTATAAAACCTTAGTAAATGGCCTTAAACAGTTCTATACAACATCACAAAAGCCGAGTTAAGTTCAATCTTATGACTTGTTTCAACTGTACTTGGCAGTAAAGGATGATGGATGTTTACCATTATTTACTCATTTTAGTTTCTATTATTTTGTTTGTTTTTGCAATCAATCAGTCAATCAGTAGTAACGTAGAACATCGTACGTACATACCTACGTACATCAGTTCATGTTGTCATACCACATTATCACATAGATGTAATTGTCAATTCAAACCCCAAGTAGTAGAGGTCGTAAAGGTATCATCAGTAATCGGAGAGACTAGGGTTCGAAGATATTATTCAAGAAGTAGAATCTAGTGAAACAGCCTTTAAAAGATAGAGATAAATTGATGCGGAATTAAAAAGTTTATAGTTTGAGAGAACACAAAGAGTGAATGCACCTACACCATTGCAAACGGTTTTGCGTTATGTCATTCAGGGTTTCTAACCATCGATTACTATAATCTCGTGGGCCCCAACGAGGTAGTCGACACCTACCGACATGACTCAGTTTATTTTTCAGTGACTTTATGGATCTATGCCATGTTTTGGTTTGGCCGCCCCTAGCTTTCGTCCAATCTATTCCTAAACTACAAAATATAGCTCGTTTGTTTTTGCAGTCATTTAGATACATGTTCAGCCACCCTAATTTGCAAATCACATTTACTCCATATAAATGTGTGGCCACACACGCATTTAAATTGATAAACGCAATGAGATATGATGCAATCCTTGATACGCTCTTTAAGTTTGTGATAAAGCATGATAATTACCTTTCCTGTGTATTGTGTTTTGTTGATATCAGATTTGAGCCTTTGTTTCTATATAAGGCTATTTAACTCGCCTCCGACTGGTAAGTTGATACAACATTCCTTTCAACAACCTCACTTCTTTTTTTATTGGTTAATTGAGTTTTCGCCTTATCTTTTCTATTTCAGCTAGTCAGTTCTAACGCAGTACATTTTTCATATCTCCCACTACCACATAGTATGGAACAAATAGCGTTGGTAAATTTTCTTTTTTTATGTCTCTTTGATGATTATCAGTATTAGTCTTAGTAAATAATCATCTCTTTCAAGGTTACTATCAGTTATTTCATTTTAGTGACACTGTGGTTTTATAAACACTGAAACATCGGCTGGAAATTACATCAGTGTTCTCAAGTTTCTACTTTTTAAAGATAATGGGAAATCTTTCAGTAATGAACTTTTTTACTTTAGTAAATGTTTAGCAGCGCAACTGAAAATGTAGTAAGAAATAGCTACCTTGATGATTTTGTGTCGAAACATCTGTATAGATTCAGCAAAAATTCGGAGCTTTTTTGATGTTACGGAGTAAATTCACAAATGTGAACTGATCGATTGTGCAGGTGTAAGTTGAGTAGATGTACACTAAATCTTCAAGTTGAATAACTGAAGTTTAATCCATTGTAATGTCGTATAAGCGCAATTCTGTGTTGTTTCAAGCAACTGAAAAACTGTTAAATGCTCCATAATCCCTCATGGTTTTCCAGCTAATGTCCTTCTATATTGAAAAACATATTTGACGTACCCTTTGTTTGTCCATTAATGTTTTCATAGGAGTTCTATTACTTCAGTTTTTTTTACTGAAAGAATTTTGATGGCATATGCAACATCGTATCTTGACACAATTAGTTTATCTCTTGAGGAATTGTATTCTGTGTCTTTCGGGGACAATGAACACTGTACCATTTTGAATCAAACACTATTTGACATTACTAGTTAAAGTGAACTAATTGTGTAACAATGATTATCTCTGATGCGGAATGAATATAGCTAGTTAGTTTTTATTTAAAGCTTTACTTCTAAACCTATTGCAGTTACCTTTCAAATACGAAAAAATGGAACGAGTTCCTACTTACTATTTTTTGTTTGATTACTAAGTTTTGTCGACGTTATTTTCTTAAATAATCATCTAATTTCTTTTTAGTCTGCTCATATTATGATGGGAGGTAGTGCAGGATTTCTGACTCAAACTGTTGATAATCTAATAGATGATGCTCAAGTTTTGAGACCAACCTCATTAGTGATGGTTCCACGTGTACTGTCTCGTTTGTACACAAAATATCAACAAGCATTGGGTGATTCTATGGTGAAACAGCGACTTTACAATCACATTGTGAAACGAAAATTGGCTGAGCAAAAGCGGTACATTGCTTTACATTTCAAAGTTATCATTTCTAATATTAATTTTATGACATTTTTTGCCACATTTCATTGTATCATAGATTAGGTAGGCTCTATACTCTTCGGTTCCAGAGTATATGAATAATAGCATGTTGAATGACATAACTTTTTCGTTTGGAGTTTCGATTAGAAAATCAGTACGCTAAAACCTTTGAAGGTGTTAAAAGACAATTTTATTCATTTAAATTTTCACAAAATCGATTAAACTAATACAGATTGTCTAGGGTTGTCTAAATCTTATCTCTGCACTTACTAAAGACAGAGAGAGAGAGAGAGAGTTCAAACTGACCTAATTGCTATCATAACTGTTTTCATAAATCGGTGTTGATAACTCACTAATATATAACTGTTTTTTTTGGATTAGCTATTAATGAAATGAATTCAAAGAAAGCAAATAGAATTCAATTTAGCGTATTTGTAGTTTGCTCTTAGTATCAGTTTAAATGGTCAATTATGCCAATGGCGATTAACAACCATTTTAACCAGTTTATAGGGAAAATTATTCCTGTGAAAATTCATAACTGAATAATAGCAAGAAGCTGAAAAGGACAAGTTTCACGATGAATGTAAACACAGAGGTGTTCCGGACAGGAACATTAATTAATGGTAGCTAAAATAATCAAACATGAAAAAAGTGCACAAATTAAGCTTGGGAAAGTACAGAAGTAAACGGCAACTGTAGAAGCACGCGTGTACCTAAAATGGTAGTTTAATTTAATTCACCCTTGTAAAAGTATATTAATTTGAATAAATTTAACAACACTATAACAATAACAGATAAACATAGGCACTGAACAGTGTGCATTATCAATAAATTAGGTTACTTCATTATTCAATCAAATGGTCATATGGATTGTTCACTAAATTACTAATATGTCTGTCAAGCCGTCAATGTTGATTGAATTTTATCGAGGAAGTTGTGATGTAGTTGCTCATCTAGGTTTCGTGTTACGTGGTACCCGTTAGTAAGTCGTTTCTACAATCTTAAAGTAATTGAACACGGGTCACTCATTTTCTCAGTTTGAAATGTTGCCATTGATCTATTCAGGTTTCGACTGACTGTCTGTCATCTAACATCAATTAGATGTTTTGGTAGTTTAGAACGATTCAAATAATAGTTAAGTCAGTTTTTAGTCGTTTCACTATAAAATACGTAGGTGTTTTCTGTTCCATTCAGCTAATGAACACTCTCCTAATGAATTACTCAAACCATTGATCTCTTTGCTACTTTAACTGGAATATTTCATTTTACTTTTGGTGCACAGAATGCTTATTATCCGAATTGTAATTAATCTATTGCGGAATTAATGATTCAGTGAACTAGATAAAGATGCCTTTGCCAATCACATCCCTAATTAAAACGAGTTAGGCTATCTACTGTAACCTTCTAATTTCATATATTAAGTTAGCTATTTCAATAAGTAATGAATTCTAAGTCGTACCTATACACAGACCCTTGGTGTCAGTGTTTAATTTGCAATATAGTAACTAATGACCGTTATTGTTGTTTTATAAAACGAAAAAATATGAAATCCATTCGGTTTGAGTTTTGTGTCATCTATTGTTTTCCAGTCTGATGTACTTACTGTACTTACTGTGTATCATCCATTTTCTAAAATTTCTATCCAGTGTGAGTGTTCAAATATTTGCTTAATCAAACAAGAAAATAATACCGAAGATAAAGATAATGCTGAATTTCATTTTACTAGATAAATGAAAGGTATTTTGTCAAAAATATTAGGACTACTTTCGTTATTTACGACAAAATGAACAGTTCTCTATCAATAAAACGTCTACTTACTGTTCGTTAGTTACACCAACATAAAATTGTAAGAATTTACTATATATGTGTAAATATTCATTTTTACTCTAGCGCATTAGGCTTATTCATTTATAACATCAAATCTTAAATTAAAATTTTTTACCGTTGACAAATCTCTTAATGGTAATCGATTATTTTCTTTTGAATTTAGTGGAAAATTCTATCATAAAAGCATTGTGGACACAATGTTGTTTGGTAAACTTAGAAAGAAACTTGGCGGACGTGTGTGTTGCATAGTTACTGGTGGCGCTCCAATATCACTAGAACTTGAGAAGTTTGCACATGCTCTATTTGGCATGGTAGGTTGACTTTCATTTTATTTCAAACCAGATTAGCTATTTTCAAGAATATCAAGTCACTCATGATTGTTCATGGTGTCATTGTTATGAATGGTTTGCTTTCTGATCTCTTACTCAGTGGTATATGATATATTGTCTTTACTTTCCTCTACTGTATAATGAATTAAAAATTGTCTTAGTTCTGCTTCTACTCACTTCATGGACTGTTTTTCTGTTTATCAAAAGTCAAAGAGTGTTGATTTTAGATGAATATTATGATTGAAACCTTTGTAAAAGTGTGTGAATGTCTAATTTACTACGCCAAATAGTAATAGGGAAGAAACTGTGTAAACTATTCAAATAATGTTATATTTTAGTGAATTAAGTTGACTGCTTTACTTTATGCCTTTCTAAGCAAAACTAACAGAATTATGTAAAAATGCGGCATTGGGATTTAATCACTTAACTTAGTAGACGTCACACAGAAAATAGCATTAAGTATCACGATACTTTGTTAAGAGACAATGTCGATTTTCGTTCAAAACTGTTATATATTTAATGAACGCCGAAATGATCAGTCGAAAACAGTTGAAAAAAATATATTACGTTATTCCTTTGTATTGTATATTTTAGTCAATCCTTCATTTAAATTTTCGGATGTCTCTTTATATTTTTCTATGTGAAAGGTTTTTCAAGGGTATGGATCAACTGAATCACTGGCATGTATCACCTTATCACGGGTTGGCGAGTACCGTTTAGGTACTGTCGGTGGGATCGGTTATGGTATGAAAGTGAAACTTGTTGATGTCCCCGAACTGGGTTTGATCGTATCACGTGATAGAAGGGGCGAAGTAAGATTTTTAAAAAAGTCTTGAATAGTAAAATTCATCGAAATATATTGCTTAATAAGGAATATTTGAGTGCATAAATTTTTTTTACTTGAATGACTTCATCACTAATAGCTCTTACAATCATAAATCCATAATTCTAACAATTAAACCGATCAGATATAAGTGAATAAAATAATATTGTTTGTTATTAAGGCAGAAAATATTCATATCGATTATAGTTTAAAGCCGGCCATCCAAAGTGTTTTATTTATTGATTTGAAAGTTAATTTACAAGATGTTTGATAGCTCATCTACAGAATGCTATTGTTCAATCAATAAATCAATCAACAATTGATAGTTTTCACTTCTAATAGCAAGCAATAGGTGAAGGATAATCTTAATTATCTATAAAGAAAAGAGTGACCCTAGTAAAATAAGTCCCGTAAGTAGATTATATTCACATCGGAATCAAAAGTAAACTCAGAATTTCACTTTTTCTAATGTTTTGCTTAGAAAATTAAACAGCTCTCTATAAAGATCATTATAGTGAAAGCCAATATGAGACGGGAAACTAGTGAACTTGTAAAGTTACGTTTCATTGAGTCAGAATGTCAGCAGTCTAAAACATTTCCTATATTTCGAGAGCTAGAAGATAAACGAAGAATATAAAAATTTGGGCAAATCTTAGCAAATAATTGATTTTGTCCGAAATTCATTATCAGTAACCTGAAACCAAAAGAGTTAGTTCAAAGAACCTCTACTATACTGAAGATTACGATCAGAAACATTCAGTCTGAATGGAGTATAATCAAAGAGACCTTAAGAAACTAACTGTTGCAATTGTTGAAGACCTACCTATTCAGTTAAAATTTAAACTGTATTTCACAGCTGATGTCTAATTTAAGGATATACCAAGGATTTACAGATTATAAAGATTATCCTCCACCTATTGTCCTATCATTTTATTTTCGATTGATAATAATGGAACTGTAAACCGTTGCATATTATTATTATTATTATTATTATTATCATCATTATATCACCAACTAACGAATACAATAGCGTGTTGGGCATTTTTAAAGTTTGACATATAATGCAAGCGTTTATCAACTGATTGACGTTCATATTTTCATCAAGAAACTTATTGCCGATATAGACGTCTTTGTTTATATTCACAATGTCTTGTAAATATTGAAATTTTCACATGAGTATTATACCAATTCGATTCGTTAAGTGAACCTTGAGGGAGGAAATATATGGCACTCTGGACGACAGCTTCCTTTTAGTTAAGGACTCCCTAGCACATTACAGATCTATAGCTAACGTCAGTTAGAAATGTAAACCGAATTTCAATTTTTAGAAAAGTTTGTGTTGTCAAATTGAAAAATAACTGAGATCGTACTCTAACTCGTTTTTTTAGATATGTTGTAAGGGTAAACATTGCACCAAAGGTTATTACAAGGATCCGGTAAAAACTGCTGAACTTATAGATAATGATGGTTGGCTTCATACAGGGGATATTGGTGAATGGATGCCAGTAAGTTTGAAAATACTTTCTGATATACATTTATCCGTTTATTTATTCATTAATATCACTCAGTGTTATTGAATATACTGTTCACTTTGACTTCATAAAAGTTATTTATAAAACATTTCATTTATTAAAGTGTAAACTAGCTGATGATAAAAGTGGGGACAATCGCCTATTTACTTAATTGTTTGATTAGTGATAAATCTTCTACTTGAACAATTATTACTGTCTTTCTAGCCGCCAAACTCAACTAATAAAGAAAGGACGCAAAATATGCGTAAAATTTCTACTCTTATGCTAGTCTATGTACACAAAATCGAGACTTAAAGGTTTACAGATAATTTTGATCCTGTAGAATTTTCTGGGGACATAGTTAACATATTTGCAACACAAGCAACTATTTATAAGTGTCCCGGCCAAGGTTTAGCTTTTTAATTTTGGATAAACTGTGCAGTAGGTAGAATACTAACAATTTTTGTTTATTTAAATACATAAACATTGGTACAAAGAGGCGCCACACTAATCACTGAATTTGTGTAAACGTTGGAAGAGGCCGGTTTGAATGGTCTGTGAGGTTTCAGAGGGGCTGGCGAGGAATTTCTCTTTGGTGGTAACCTTCATCTTTCAACCATTCAGTGACTTAAAACCGCTTGGATGGAACATAATTTATACCACATATGAACTGTTATGTGAGTTAAAGAATTTAGTAATATACAGAATGGGAATAAAGAAATAAACTAGTGACGCGATGAAAAACGAAAACTAATATTCACAAATAGTTTTGAATTTGATTCACAAGAATGAGAATCAAAGCGTGAATAGGTTTTTTAGTTGTAGTTATCACTTAGTTTGTGTGAGAGTTGGGTGATCAAACCATAGCATGTGGTTTTCTTAGGAGGATATTGCTCGAGTCTTTGACCCTGAAGTCTAATCCACAAGGCAATAGAGCAACATAAGTAATAAAAATATTTTATTCCAGTGAGTATAAAATAAAATGTTTTAAGTTTTCTGAATTGTTGTGGATTATTTCTTCAGAGAATAAGTAAATAATCAAATTAACACAGGTTTGAATAATACTAAAGTAACGAAGCAGAATATTTTTAGTACAGTCCAAATCAAAATACGTCCGGTCTTGTTAACGTAATGTTATTTCGGTCAAGGTCATTCTGTATGATACCTACGTGTATGTATTTATGTGTTAGTGGGTGTAGAAAAATGTGATATTTGTATTATAG